AATATTGAACCACCCTATTGTTTGAAACTTTTTAAAGTATGAAGTGATTCGATATAAGCAATTTCAAATCCCTCCATACTTTGAAAATTTTTTTTCGAAGTATGGGCTATTTTTATGTTAGCAACATTGAACCACTCAATATCAATACATACAGTAGCTGAAATTTTTAAGGTTGACCTAAAAGTATATTTCTGAGCATAACAATATCTCGTGACGATGGATGCCCTACTGTTTAGGGGTGGAAGCGGCCGGAGGACCAAAAAAAATGATATGTAGTCCAAACCCAGACCCGACCCAAAAATTAAAATATCTATGTATTTAACTATATTTATATCTATTTCAAATGTTGGGACCCGAAAAAATATTTCAAGATCAAGACCCGGACCCAAATAGTGTTTGGGTCCAAGATTTGGAGTCTGACCCAACGCGCCGGGTCCAATTTTTTGACCTATAGCCAGACATAGATCAGGTTTACCACTCAAGTCCCGGCTCAGGTCCGGGTCTATCGCCATCCCTAGCCCTTCTATGTTTTGTCCTTTCTTTGTTTTGTTGCTGTAACTTTCATCGAAGTTTTAGTACTCCTTGAAATTTCGACTGCTTTTTGGGGGAGAAAACACGCTGATTCGAATGAAGGCCAAAGAATAGCAGGCATTGATTAAGATGAGCTTTTTGACCCATCAACATAGCAGATCCAGTTTGTGGCTTGTGTGAGTTTAAAAGATCCAAATACCACACAACCTCTGTGATCAATGAGCTCCAGCTAGTAAGGGCCACTTACCTCATAAAAATGGCTTTTTTTGCCTTGAAATTGACTATGAATGGCAATTTATTAAGCACAATGGATTTAATGCAATAGTATGGGTGGTAACGGCCAGGACCGGCGCAAAGCGACCTGGACCAAGGCCTAACCCTACTCTCGGCCATAGGTGGCCTGACCCATTGAGCTCGGTCTGGTTGGCCTGGCCAACATATATAATTTTGGGAAAATTTCGTACATAACTATAATCTCTCTTTTTTTTTGGTACGCCCTCCTTCCATTTTTTTTTTAAACAACATAAAAAAATCTCTAAAGATTTCACCGTACCCTTTTATCTCTTATATCTCTCGTTTATTCACTTTTGACTGTAAAAATTAGCCCCAACAAACCTTTTTATATCATTTCAATCAATAAGAGAGAGAAATAGGGAGCCGTCAATATGGCATTGAGGGGTTGACAAAGGAAAAAAATATAATAAAAAAATATTTTTAAAACGTTATTGGGTTAAAAGATATAATGGGGTGGGTTAAAAAAGTTTGTGAAACATTTTTGGGTTGAAACGGTATAAAAAATTTGCTGTGACTGATTTTTATGATCAAAAGTGAATAAATGAGAGAGATAAGAGATGAGGGGATACGGTGAAATCCTTAAAAAAAAGTTTACACCGCTTGAAAGAAAAATGGCATGAGGGTCTATCACGAAATAAGATGGGGAATTAGGGTTTTCCACAAAATTTTCCCTATAAATTCTTGGTGTGGTTTGTATAAGGCTGAGGCCCTAGACAATCAAAGTAAGGCACACCTTCAAATATCGTCGAAATATGTTGTTTCGGTATCAGAAATCTTTTATCATGGCCTGAAAATTTATTTTCATCTCTAATTATAAAATTCATAGATTTAAATATGTAATCTATGAACACTTGAAAATACACGGTTTAGATAACACATTACATGATGCATTATTTTCAAGACTTCTAATTTATTTATTTTATGTCCATACATCTTGAGGTCAAGATAATCGAATTGAGGATTTTTCAGTACTGAAACAACCTATTCTCGTGAATTTTTTATGTGCGCCTTTATCAGATTGTTTAGTGCCTTACCCCTATCTAAACCTTTTTTTTTTTTCTAATTCATAAAAAATTTATAAATAGACCGGACTTGGCAAAGTAGGGCCAAGCCAAGACCCTCGCACCCAACCTGGACACCACAACTAGAGTAAAGCCAGAGGCTTGGCTCTCATGCCAGGCGTGGGCCAATGCATGCATGTCCATTGGAACCCTTATGAATAGCACCCCTAGGGAGCTCGATAAAACAACAATGAAGAACCAATTGGATCCGATCAACTCTACAAAAAACCAAAAGGCATTCATGTTACATGACATTGCACAGCTTTAAGTGTTGTGTTCTTTGTGTTGTTTTTTAAGAATTTTGTAGGATAATTTGGAAACCTTTTGTTTAAGCACTTTTGCAGTGGTGATAGCGGATGAGGTCATTATTTTTAAATGAAATGTGGATTTGATGGGTTTTTGAAGGGAAAATATCAGTAAAATAGTCACAGTTTTTAAGAAAATCAATGAGGTGGTTAAAGCAACAAGTTTACCAACAAAGTGGTTATCCTTTAATATTTTATTTAGGTACCTCATCCAAAATTGTTAACAAATATTCCTAATTGTCCTTGTTCTGGTTTAGTAAGGAGTTTGTAACTTTGAACAAGTGAAAGGATTTTGCTATTGTGACTCACATTGTTCGTTTCAATTTTCAAACCTAAAATATGTTTCTTTTCATTAGCATTCGTGTTTTACGTTTCAAATCTTGAACAAGTAGAAGTATTATAGTAATTTTGGCTCACCTAAGTAAAAAATATGAATACACTATAGAAACAAAAAACAATTTACGAAACAAAAAAGAAGAAACAAACACAAAACAAAGAAACAACCAACAACGCAAAGATATATGTGGTTCAGCAGTGTGCTTACATCCACGGGGAGAAAAGAGCTTCTTTATTGGCAATAGAGAAAAATGTTACAATGGCTCTCTTCCTCACACATTTCCATATTATAAAAAAATCTCTTTCTATTACTTTACCCTAAAAGAATCCACATCGCAACAATATATGTAGAGTCCCACGCAGATGATATAAATTACCAAAATACCTTATGTACGGATACAAAAATTTGAAATCTCATTTTCTTCCATAACTTTAAAAGAATCACAATCGTAAGAATATATATAGTCCTAGGCGGACGTACAAATTATCAAATTACCCTATATACGGATACAAAATTCTTCCTTCGGGCTTTTAACTGCCCTCCCTCTGGAGTCATCCTTTTGACTCCACTTTGATACATCTATTTCTTCATAATACACGACATCAATCGTCAACATATACCTACCTATTCTCCGATACAAACCTAGAGCAAGATTTCTTAATGAAAACAACATATTCTAGGTTTGAAACTCAAAACAAAAAAAAGTCTATTTGGATCATTTGCCTCGAGTATTGAGTGGCCAAATTACCAAAATATCCTCACTTTTTTAAGATTCTAAATCGAAAATAGGGGTAATCTAGACATTCTTTAACAAAATAGTTTAGGAGATAGCTAATTGAAATGATTTTTTTTTAAAAAAAAAATGATCTTTGTGGGGAAAATTAGTTCATTTAAAATCCTCAATGATTTTTTAAATGGTTTCAATATTTTCCCTAAATATTTTTTAATGAAGTAATAAACAACCATGGGAAATAACCATTATGCAGCCTTGGGGGAGAGAATGGAGTGTCCTTCCTCGAACCCCATAGAGAGGTTCGTTGAAGAGAGCACCTTGACCTTAAGCATATGTTCATGCAATTTCCATTCAATTCAAACTCCAACCAAACTTCTTTGATGGGAGACTGAAAATCAACAAAGTCGTTGACGTTGTTCACCGAACAATATTGAAAAACAATTTCTTCATAATTTCAGCTTTTTAATTTCATGTCCACAAAAAGTCATGGGGCTTTCGAGAAATTTTCAACAATTGCAAAATAATACAATTATCTTCAATAAACCAGGAGGAATCTTGGAGAACAAAGATGGTGCCGTGGTTTTGAATGAAATACCAGTGTGGTTTCAAAAAGCATAAAAAATAAAAAGCTTCCCCTTTCTAAGATATTTATATATACGAAGACCCAAAGCCCCCTCTCTTAAAGGAAAATGAAAATGGTTACCTCTCTCTCTCCAACTTTCCTCATGAAACCAATAGTTTAACAAGGGGTGACAACCGGCTAGATCGGATCCGAGTCTGGTCAGACTCGAAAAAATGATATGGGACATAGATCTGACCGGATCCGAATTCATAGGCCTCAGACCCGAAAATATCATGTAGGACCCCGACCTAATTGCATCTGACGCAAAAATTAAAATATCTATATATTTAAATATATTTCATAAATTGAGACCCAAACAGTATTATCGCACCCGGACCTTGATTGGGACCTTAATAGTGTTTGGATCCAAGATTTGAAACCAGAACCGACCCGCCTGATCAATTTTTAAACCCATACTCGGACCTACATAGAATCTTTCCCCTCGAGTCTCGAGTCGTTTCCAGGTCTATTGCAACCATTAAGTTTAACTCTATGAGCTCCACGCTCCGTAACTTTCTCTCCTTCATAAGTTTAACGATAGTACCGTTAAAAAAATAAATAAATAATTAACAAAATAAAAAAAGAAGAAGAAAAATAAAAAAAAAGAAAAAGAGTTTAAAGACTCCATGCGAATAGGCAAGGTCTCTGTCTCTAATTTAGCAATATAAGCTCCAGGTTAGGTCTCTTTCATGCTTTTATAGCTCTCTCACTCTTAGGGGTGGCTTCGGGTCAAGTTGGATCTACGTAGACTCGGACCTGGACTTCACTTAGAATATCTTGGGCCTAGGTCAGGGCCACACAACTTCTAACTAAATCCGACCTAGAGCTAGAAATTAAAAAAATAAAAATTTTAATTTATATTATTTAATATATATTTTATATATTTTGTATCAGGTTGACCTTGCCACTTACCCAATAGGGTCCATGCTGCATCTAGATTCTAGACCTAGACCCGACCTGGTTCATGTCCAAAACATTTGGACCCGGACCAGATTTGGTTCAACCCGATCCGATTGCCATCCCTTTCTCTCTCGTATCGTGTATGCTTTTTGAAAATTCTCACTTTTTAATGCTTTTCGAAAATTCTCACTCTTTTAATGCTTTTCGAAAATTCAGACACGATGGGTCCTAAAGCTTTTATGCCAGCAAATTTCTCTCCCTTGTATGCTTTTGAAAATTCGAAATTCCGAATTTTTGACCATCAACTGAAATCACCGAAATTCGAACTTTTAATCGTTCTATAAATTCCGGCGACTTATTCTCGCGAGAACTTTCAACTTTCAACCCCTTCACCGCGTGCCTATAAATATCCACCACCTTCCTTGAGCACTGCCATTTCCGTTCTATCCCTCTTTTTCAAACCTTTTTAGGACCCATCGTGTCTGAATTTTCTCCATTTTTAGGGTTTTGATCTCTGAATCGCTTTAGGTTTCCCCTTCTCTCTCCTTGTGTTATCTGATAATGGCGGAGCAGCTCACAGAGGAGCAGATCTCGGAGTTCAAGGAAGCCTTCAGTCTTTTTGACAAAGATGGAGACGGTGAGATTTCATTGACTTTAGGCTTTTTATTTTTATTTTTTGGAGGATCGTCCATTTTTTGCCCTAATTTTTTGATGTTTAGACACAGTATTTGTTATATTTATGAATCTAAGATGATCGGTTGAGGGAATGTGATGGATTTATAATGGTTTATAACGGAATTGCTGTTTAGCTAGATCAAAGTGTTTAGGATTTACTGTTTTTGGGATGTGAAGTTTGTAGTATGAAAGTGTTTGAGGCATCATGCAAATTTATGCATAGGATCTATGATATCTCTTAAATTTTCCATGATGAATTGGGCAACACAGTTTGATGTGTTGGTTTTGAATAGAATTAGATTTTAGGTAGTAGATCAAATGTTGGCAAATTCATTTTATTTCAGTTATATTCTTTTTGGAATAATTTTACGTTCATGATTTGTATTATGGGTTTTAATCTTGTGATCAATAAGGTTTACTTTCTGGAGCATAAAGGGCTGTAACGAGCTGGTCCCGCCTAAGCAGGGTCCCGGGAGGGGTGGGCTGGAAATGATCATAACCTTTGGCTTATGCACAAAGTGGCCGCTCTCGGGACTCGAACCCACGCTCTTATGCTAGCTACCCGAACCTTTTACCGTCACACCATAGCCCCTTCTTTACTTTCTGGAGCAGACGTGTTTTAAATGCAAGCATGGATTGAACTATGGTTATCTATATGGACAAATTTTTAGTTGTATAAATTGTGGGTTATGTTTGCCCTATGTGCAATGAAATTGTTGTTAAATGGATTAGACTTGTTTAAATGAGTTTGGGTGTGGTTTCCATAAAGTTGCAACCTTAAACAATCCATTTAAGGTGCACCTTCAAATTTTATCATAACATATAATTTTGATGTAAAATGTTATTAAGATTAGCTCAAAATCTATTTTCATATCTAATTATAAAATTTTAAACTAAAAAAATGATTAAAATCAAGTAGATCTATAAATATATGAAAATATTGAAAATGGACAGTCTAGATAATGCGTTGTAAGATGCACCATTTATGGGACTCAAAATCCTTGTTTTTTCAGTCATTCATCTCGATGTTGAGACATCCAGATGATCAATTAGAGGGTTTTTCAATATTAAAACAACCTTTTCCGATGGATTTTTGAGGTGCATCCGTAGTTCTATATTTCAAGGTTGCAACCTTATATAAACTTTTCCCAATGAGTTTAAGCCTTTGATTTAGACTTCTACTGTTAGGAAAGTTATCGAGTTACATGATTTGTAAGTTCTCTTGGATTCCCTGCTTATTTTAGTTGAACCTGTGGTACCTAAAAGGCTTTGGAGATAAACTGTCATTTCAAATAAAAGAATGCTATTGTATCAGATCTACTGGAGCATAGTTTGTGGCCTTTGATTTTTTTCTACGTGTGAAGCATTGAGAATACTTTCAATGCCACATTTGACTATTCATAAAGAAACAAACCAATGGTAGAAGCGTCTATTTTTATTTTGATGATCAGATCATTTAAATTCAAATTTAGGCTTTTGAAATGTTTCTATTTCAGATTTACAGTTTTGACCTGTGACATTTTGGCACTTCTATGCATTCTGTTAAAGAAGATATTTGTTTTTGTTGGTCAAGACTGGCTATAGTAAAAATTGGTTTCAACTTTCAAGAGCCTAGTTTCAGTAAGTTGTGTAATTTATATTAGTGGCCTTTATGATGCATGAGTAAGTATCCTGATTACATGTCAGTCTCGATAAGCATAACTTATATTTTGATTTATGTCATATCTTAATTCTTATTTAGCACTTCTTTTTTGTTGGATATGCTATAGTTGTTGGACCAATAACATTTGAGGTTATAATGTGTGCACTAGAAAATTATGTTTGTGGAAGCTTTGAGGCCATCAAATTTGTTTCCTCAAACTGGATATGCAATATCAGATTTGCCCTTTTTTCTGTATGATTATGTTATAATTTGTCTTTATGAAAGGTGAAGAATCAGATGATTCATGCCATACATTGGTTGCTGTTGGACAAATCGTTTATCTTTATTTGAATCTTATCTTAGTTAGGGTTGAAACTTCGTTAACATAAACTAGAATGAAAGGTTGTTAACGGCGGGTGACTTTCAAACGAGATGAAATTTGTCGAAGGTAAAAACAACATATTTTTTGTGTGCTAAATTTTAAAAAGTGAAACAAGTTAGATACCCAAAAAAAAAAAATGATAATATCACTAAAAAAGAAAACTCATGAGTTAAGTATATTTTTTAAAGGGCAAGCTTTTTATGCTTCCCCTACAACATATGACTTCTATATTTCCCCTTATCCAACTGTCCATTCTGAATGGACGGCTGAGATGGCCCCAATCACAATGTCACGCTCTACACCATTTTGTTTCTATTTTGATTTTTTAAATTTATTTTGACACCAAATTTTGGGAGTCCACTACTCTCTTAAACTCGCACTTGTAAAAATATAAAACAAATATTTCCAATAAAAAAATGACTAAAATACCCCTGAAAATTTTAAGGGTATTTTGGTCATTATATTTCATCATTTTTTAAAAAAATATTTTTCATAGGTGCGCCCCATTGAGAAGATGGCACATACCAAATTTTATGTTCATACAATTTATATCATTTTTTAAAAAAATAAAACAATCCGAAACGTCGAATCTAGATCAAACAGTGAGTGACTCACTTGATCTAAATTGAATGCTGGATTGGATGGGAAGCATATATCTTTTAAGTTGCAGGGGAACTGGGAAGTATAGAAACCTTTTCCTTTTTTAAAAAATCGATGTAAAGTTTCATTTGATTTTAGATTCTTCTGTAGTAGTATGATTTAACAATACGTTGACTTCTTGTAACATTGACAGCAATGTATTCAAATGTGGGGTGCAGACCTGATGCAGTCGAGGGGCCGATGCCATGATGCAGTCCAAATGTGGACAAATCACCCCCATGCGGTTAATAATATAAAAAATCTCAAAAAATAGGTTAATGCGTGGGAAAAAAAATAAGGAGGTGATTTATGTGATAGTAAGTATTTAATTTATTCATTAACTCCAATATTATCTGCACTAAAACACTCTAAATCCCTTGAGAGAAGAAACTAGAAACTTGAAAGTAACTTTATAGAAGACATTAGAAGACATCATATTATCCTAAACATCCAAAAATCAATTCCATTGCAAACTTTAAAGTGTTAGGAAATGAAAACTTATTAATTCAAAAAAAAATTTAATATCTTCTCGGCCCTTGTAACCCTCGATGTGTTGATGAATCTATGCCCAAACTTCTTCAAATCAATGCCCAAGCTAATCCTAGTCGATAACCCATCCAAGATCTAAAGCAAAACGACAATTTTAAATCAAAATATTTCACCTAATTTTTTTTTTTTTACTGTTTTTAATGATAAAACATCCCCCACTGTGGCTGTTTATTGGGTTTAGGGGGTTTTGCTGAGAGAGGGGGGGGAGAGGGGGAATTACCTTACTGCCCACACATGTGGACATTATTTTCGACCACAAGGGCTGGGCAGTATATGCGGGCGCATAGTGCTATGTGCCTGCATATGCACCGTGATGCGCAGGCGCATCCGTAAAAAGCTCATATGCGGCCTGAGGCAATGCGCCTCAAACCACATGGGGCATGATGCAGCCTCATATAGTGCTATGTGTGTACAAAAGTAACTTCTTGTAAAGTTGACGCTAGGGTCTATGGGCAGTAACCCGGTGCTGGTGTCGCCTATGCAGGGTCTCGGGAGGGTGAGCTAGAAACGGTCCTAACCTTTGGCTTTTTATGCACAATAGGGTATACAAAAGTTAAAAAAAATGGATGATTTATTTTCATGCACACAAAAATAAATTTTTCAATAAAGTTAATGAAATTTCGAAGTTTATAATATTTCTCCATCCAAAAAAAATTATAAGAGTGCAATTGCTAGACTCTCTGGTCAACTTTCATGGTTACCATTGTCTGGTGCGTGGCATCAATTGTATGTTGGAGGGTTGGTAGAAGAAAAGTGAGTATAGAGCTTAAGAGGAACCACAAGGTGGTTCATTATTGTGATGATTAGAACCACCAAAAGGGAAAAAATGTCCTCCACCCCCCCCTTCTTTGAAAAGGGAGAGAAATTGTAATTGGGGGGCATTTTGTCCTCTCAAAACCCTAAACAACCCTATTTGCCCCAAAAAAAAAGTTTTGTTCAAAAATTGAAATCATTTAAAGATCCCGACTGAAGTTGTAGTTTTTTATTTCTTGCGGAATCAAAAGGCATTCTGCTGGAAAGTTTTCAGGGATTAATAGGTTGCAAAATAGAGCTTTTGGTAACCGAAAGTGACCAATTGTTTATGTTTAGGATTTTGTATTTATTGTGTTATATTATGCTTCTTCTTTTTTCATTTTCATGTGTTTATTTTTGGGCTTTACATTTATGATGAAACTTCATGATTGTTTTTTTTCTTAGTTCGCTAATTTTTTGTGATTAAGGGAAAATATCTCTTTATCCCCTATTTTTAACTTCCATATCTCATGAGACCCAAGAATTGAAAATATTACTTGTAAGCAAAAGGTCTCCATCTTTTCTATCTTACAACCCCCTGGACCCCTTTGACTGTAAATTTTTTACCCAAACAAAAACTAAAATGACACCCTATTCAAATTCTCTCTCTCTCTCTACTAAACTCCATCTCTCTCTCTTCACTTCTCGGTGAGTTTACTAGCCAAGGGTTCAGCTTGAGCTCGAACACGAGCACACCTTCTTATGTATAAGAGAGATGGAGTTTGGGTTTTAGTAGAGAGATGGAGTTTAGATTTTAGAGAGAGATAGAGTTTGTGTTTTAGAGAGAGATAGAGTTTTGAGAGAGAGAGAGAGACGATGACGTGAAAGATAGAGACAGACTTTTAGAGAGAGAGAGAGATAGAGTCATTTCATAAGTTGTTGAGGTCATTAATACATAGTCAAAAGGGTTTAGGGGGTTGGAAGATAGACAAGATGGAGTCCTTTTGCTTACAAGTAATATGGCTATATTTGTCTATATTTAGCTATTTATGGCTATGTTTGAAAATGTTACTTTTTGAATGGCTAGTCTATAATTTATAATGTGGATGAATAAATTTATAATATTTATATTTGGTTTTATTTGGCTAAATTATATGTATACATAATGCAAAATCATAAGTTCATAAAACCCCTAACATCCCCTCCCAGGGGGGCACCTGTCTTCTTTTTTGCAGTGTCCCCCCCAGTCACTAGCGGCCACCTAGGCGGTTGGGCACCCCAACTGCCTGGGCTCTTGTTTCCGTTTTCTTGAACATAGGATTTGTTGTTAGACCCCTGAATTTTCCTCTTCCTTCTCATTTGAGTATTCTATTTCCTTCTTAACCTTCCTCTTCCTTCATTTGAAAATATTAATTGTTATTAAAACTAGTTCAATGATGTAGTAAAAATGCGTCATTGGTATCTTGAACGGTAAAGCATGTGTGCTCCAATCAGAAAAGGAATATCTAGTCTTTGACAGTGAAGTACCCAGTGCTTTATGAATAAAATAGAAGATTTTGTTTCAGTAATTTGTCCTGCTCCCAAACTGCCCCCAAAAAGTAGAGTCATGCTAATATAGTAGAAACTCAAATCCCGAGTACTATAAGAACAAATAGCATAAATATTGCATATTAAAGAACGTATTAAAATAAAAAAATTTGGTGAATAGTATGGATGTCTCATTTCCCTTGATAACGACATTATTTGAAAGAGACTTGCAACGAATGCTTCAATTTGTTTCTTAATTCTAACTTGCTTGTTCTTCTGCATCCAATCAGTAGATTTCAACAAACCTCTATTAATCAATATTTGATATTTATTATAAGATTATCATCATAGTGGATGTGTCATCTCAAACAATTTTCCGCTGCATGAAATGAGCATGGAGTTGTGGCTGGCCATTTCATTGAATATTCCAGTTCTGCACAACCACGGTTGTACTCTATTACATCATGAACTCGATAGTTCTTATATTTGTTCGGAGAACTGTCAAAATGGGGCATTTTTTTGGCTCCAGATTCCCCCCCCACCTGCAAAAGTCTACTAGTTCTTGGAAAAACTTGTGAAAAACTAGTAGAGTAGCAAAACTTGTGAAAAATAAAATTTCTTATTGTTTTTTTGATGTGGAAGTAGCAGGAATGTATAATCCTTGACGTCATTTTATGGCACTGCCACCCTATTCCTCTTTGATTGATGACGCTTGTTTTATACTTGAGCCTGAACATTATTAATAAGGATCAGTGTTCATAATGGACCTGCTGATTGTTGTACAATCATATCCATAGGATCTTTGCCATCAGCATTCATATCATTAACTCAGTTAGCCCATTTGTGTGGGCAGAATGTACCACAAAACTCTCATTTGCACTGTCCAAATCCACCACTTAGTCTTAGGCATGTCCCATCTCGTTATTTGCTTCTCGTCATGGGTTTTCGAGTTAATTTGAATGTGTTGTATTCCAGATACAATCATACAAATCATTCTAAAATCACAAGGCTGCAGCTGATTTTACTTAAATGTTAATATGCTGGTGAGCACTGTCTGTGTGGCTTGATTTTGTTTTTGTCAATTAATTTTTCCCACTGGCATCATTCCATTTGTGAGGAGGTTGAAATTATTGAAGTCTGTCTTGTGAAGAAAGGGTTACGGCTTCCTCTGTTTTTTTTCATATATGGTCTTCTTTGAGGAATGTTTGACTGTTCAATGGAGATATGCCGTCTTAACAGTCTTGGTGTTTTTTTAGTTTCATCACTTGGTGGTTCCTTTTTGTCGAATTATTTTTGCTATTGACAACTAGTGGTTGTTTATGCATAATCATTTTCCTACACTTTTGATCTAAATGCATTGGATAGATATTGGCTATGATCTAAATTTGTTGTGTACCATGAGAATGCATGTAAAGAGAATGCATAGAACTTTAATTAAGAAAGAATAACATTCATTAGTTGAAGGCTTATGAATATTGAACCAGTAGTATTACCCCATAACTGCTCTGGCTTTAAACTGTTTCAGTCTATTATTACGATGATGTTCATGTGGATATCTCCTTAATTTTAAGCATATGACCGAGATTTCATTATTCAAATTCTTGTTCTCGACAACACAGGCTGCATCACCACCAAAGAGCTGGGAACCGTGATGAGATCACTTGGTCAAAACCCAACAGAAGCTGAGCTGCAAGATATGATCAATGAAGTTGATGCAGATGGCAATGGGACCATCGATTTCCCTGAGTTCTTGAATTTGATGGCACGTAAAATGAAGGTTAGTTAGCTATTGGTGACCCTTTAATAAGAGTGGGTATTCTTCAGACAAACTGCCTCTGTTTTCTCCTTTAATATTATACCATTCGTATTGGTTTTCATTGTTTAGGTTAAAATTCTTTCTACACTCATGACCTGTATAATGTACTAAATTGCTTAATACTATGCAGGATACGGATTCTGAAGAGGAATTGAAGGAGGCTTTCAAAGTTTTTGATAAGGATCAGAATGGATTCATTTCTGCTGCAGAAGTAAGTTTCTTTTGCCTTCTATATCCATTTCCATTTGAATTTCTTATTGAATTTATGGATAGGATTCATGGTACATAGCTGCACGTTTTTATTTTTGTTTCTTGCTATACACGCGGATTTCCTATATTGCACACCATGTGTCATAGAACATTTTTTACTAGGGCATTTTCTGTTATCTGTATGGGTTATCGAACATTCATTAACGAAAGTGCAAGATGGAGTCTCTCTCTCGCTCTCTCTCATATTATGTGTTCATTGGATATCAATGCAGCTACGGCATGTGATGACCAACTTGGGTGAGAAATTAACTGACGAAGAAGTTGAGGAGATGATTCGTGAGGCTGATGTGGATGGTGATGGACAGGTGAATTACGAGGAATTTGTTAGAATGATGCTTGCGAAATAGAGCAAAAAGAGATTTTAAACCTTCTCCCCAGAAGGCTCACGATACATATATTTAGGTGAGCTTCTAAGGGGTCTTGTTTAACTCTTTGTTTTGTACTGGCCACATAGATATTGAGAGGTTTCCTTTTGCTTAAATCACTGTGCCCTTTATTTTGTTCTCATATAGTCATTATGGGACCTAATATTGGTTGAAGCACCTAATGTGGACAGGTAGGTGTATGGGTCCTTGGACTTCTTGGATGTGCATTGTTACGATGGTTTTGCTTGTGAAAATCATGTGCAGCGTAGGAAACCACGACTCTAGCACGGTACCCAGCCTTGGGCCGAGATGAGCAAGTGGACTAGGTCCTAGTAATGCAGACCAGGTTGGGCAAGTACCATCCAGACTAAAGTGTTATAAAAATAAAAAAAATACAAAAAAAATTCCAAAAAATATGCTTAAAGTAAAATTAAACAAAACACATCTAAATGAAATTAAAAAAAATAGATCTGGAAAAATCAATTTGTGACTAGGATATTTTAGAAATAGTCCAAAAAAGAAGAGAATGTAAACATGAGTATTTCAAAACACTGTCCAGTCTTTGGCAAAATGATAGAAAGCATAATAAATTTCTTATTTTTTTGGATTTTTTATAAATTTTTTAATTTTTTTTTTTTAAGATCCTGAGCTTGATCACCAAAACCAGGCTTCAAAGTAACTCTGGCGGGTCTGGGTGACCCGCCTGTTTTTTGCAAACACTGATCAAGTGAATGCCTTTTGGAATCAAAACTAAATGCGTGAGAACCTCTTCACAATGGAGTGGTAGCTTCATTCTATATTTATTACTTTTTATTTACACTCAGTAGATAGTCCCAAGTAACTGTTTCATGAGTTAAACACAAGAAGAGAGGAAGGGTAAAGGTTATGAGTTTAATGTTAATAGGTCTCACATTGCTGCAATTTTTGCTTGTCCTAGCATGCTTGGGGTGCAACAGAGAGTAGTAATCGTTAATCCCATCGATGCTGGGAAATGCACATGGTTTAGTTGTTAAAACGTTTGAAAAATGGCTGATCTAGATTGGGAATTGGCGATATGGATAAGATTTGTAGGTGAATTGTCCTGGTTCTTTTAGGGAACTAGGAGCTGGTCCCACTCGGTGGGAATTGCAGGGTCAGAGAATTGGGCAATTTCCACTTTATTTAATTTTGGAAAGCCTTTATACAAGGTGTCAACCTTGTAGTGCAGGAGCTCGGTGCACTTTAGAAATCTATTTCAAAAGGTTGTTCTAATGTGAAAAAAATCCTATAATTGATAATTTCGACTTCAAGATGCAGATGCATGGATAGCAAACAAAAAAAAAGGATTTCAAGTCTTAAAAATAATACATTTTGTAATATACCATCTAGATGATTCATTTTGATAGATCTACCCCATTTTTGTAGTTTTAAATTTCATAATTAATGGTGAAAATATATTTTTAGGTCAAGGGTTTACGGCATCGGAAATGCATCTTCTTTTTCTAAATGTTGAGTAAGTTTCATTGCAATAACGAAGAAGTACAACAACAAAATAAAGAGAACGAAAAGACAGGGGAAAAACAAATCAAAAGTGCTCCCTTAGGGAAAGAGGAAATAAGGGGAAAATAGACGAGATAGGCGATATTGGCTAGTCAATTAGCTTCTCCATTACAATCCATGTTTGTATGTCTGAGTATAACGTCTCTCCCCTGCAACCCGCATATAATGTGATCCAGAGGTCCAAAACCAAAGCAGGTGCTTATGATCGATGCACCATGCTGTGAATCACCTTCTATAATCAAATGTGAATAGCTAGGAACTAGCTTGGATACTTTTAACTTTAAAACCCGCAACTCAGCTTCATTAATCCCACAAAAGTGCATACGACCATTATAGGATCATAAAGTAGCCCCATTTGAATCTCACAGAGGGCCACCATAGCCGGTTACTTGCTCCTCTAATCTAATACTGTCATCATCAAAGTTCAGCTTGAGCCAACTCTTTAGTGGTGGTTCTCCAAGAACTTAATCAAGTATGTCGCCTTCTTATGATAAAGAGGATCTCCTTAGAACGAGTGAAGAGATTGTCTTTGGGGATAGTCCGAAAAAGAGGTAGAGCTTGTGCCTAAATTGTGACATTTTTTTTTTATAACCTATGCAACATCTTTCCTTTTTCCCTCGAAACTTATAAGATTCCTTTCTTTCCAGACATTTCAGAAGACTGTTGCTAGTAGGATCCTCCATACAATCAACCCAATAGCCATGAAATTAGGGGTCCAAATCTGTTCTAGCGTTTGGTCTCTGCAGCTGGGTTGAACCGAAATCCATCCAGATAAACACAGACCCATTCCTAGAAAGCTGAGACAAAAGGGCAATGAATGATAAACAATCTATTTTGTTTACAAAACAAATGAAAGGAAGCCGACACAATGATCATGCCTCTCTTACATAATTGATTTATGGTGAGAGCTCTTCTCTATCCAACCAAACCAGGCACATAAGAGCCCTCACTCACAGTTTAGTGAGGGCTCTTCTCTGTCCAATCAGGCACATAAGAGCTCACTCACAGTTTATATACCTCCACGTTATCTTCAATAAAGCGTTCCCAGTAGATATTATCATAGAGGGAGCTCACGGTAAAGTTCCAAAGTCTACGCCGTTTGTCCATTTTCCTCAGCAAAATATATCTTCCAACACGATTCAGTAATGGGCGTTACTTAGATTTGATATCTTAAACCTCACCCTATATATATATTTTTTTTCAGTGAAAGGTTTGTATAGAGCTGAGGCTCTAAACAATCAAATTGGAACCTACCTCAAAATTTCACTAGAAGATGTTGTTTTGATGCTCAAATATCCTCAAATTGATGATCTCGACATCAAAATGCATGGACAAGAGAAAAAAAATGGATTTCAAGTTTTCAAAATAGCATATTTTGTCACGCATTTTTAGACCATCAATTTTCAAGATTTTCATGTTTTTATAGATCTGTCGATCTACACAATTTTTGAAATTTTAAATTTTATAAATAAATATGAAAATATATTTTAAGGATATCACAAAGATTTTCAGGAAACCACATTTCTCAACTCTAATTTGAAGTTAGGCTCTAGTTTGATTGTTTATAGCCTAGGCTCCATACTAACCGTACCCTTTTTTATAATTTTCTTTTAAAATATTTAATTATTTATTTTGACCCTAAATTATCGGTCATTATTGCTGATCTTACATTCTAAAGCGGAGGGCCGACCCGACAACCTCTTCAGGTTATTTAAAACGCTGGTTATTACCGAAATTGGGGTTTCTTGGCTTGTCGTAGCAACCATGGATGAATTATTAATTCACAAAAAATTATATAAAGTGAAATAAATTCGAAGACATGTGGTGTTTCCCTTATAAAATCTGCCTGCTCGAGCTTAGGCGGGTTTTTTCAAGTTAACATGGGTTTCTTATTGGGTGGATCATCCTTTTGTTTTTTTTCCCGAAGTGTACTTTGATATGTTTTTTTGGGATGGTATAGCATTAACATGACGACGATACTTGTGCACGCACCTATCAATGGTTTGGAGTCGATTTAATATCATCAAATGGCTCAAAAAGAGTTTCATGTTTTTATTTTTATTTTTGTTTGAAATGATATTTATCTGAAATTTAGGGTGTAGATATACTTTTATATGTGTAAAATGAAAAGAATAAAAAATGTTTAAATAAAAAAGGGGCTGGGGTCAGGGCGGTTGCATCCCCAGCCCCACATGTAGTTACAATATCGTGGTATCCATTTATACTGCTGACACCCTCAATTAACACTTTCAAAATGTGACTTTCCAATCGATTGAAAAATATGGGTATGGACCTATCTTTTCCACTAAATTAACACTCCCCCGCCCCCCCCCCCAAAAAAAAGGTACGAATAAAAATTTGATCAAAATACCTTTGAAACAATTTAAGGGTATTTTGGTCTATTATTGTTTTTCAAAACATTTTATATTATTTTTATTTGATGTACTAAAATAAAAATCTATCTATATCTTAAATTTTAAATAAATAATACTTTAAATAAAAATAAAAAAAATAAATATGAAACTCTTTTGTAGCTATTTCACCTGGTCATGGTAGGGTTACAACCTCCTCTTCAATTTAGAATCTAAGTTCTGTCCGATTTGAGATGGCTAGGGCTTTAGGGTATCGACTTTGAGGTTTTTGGGAGACGGATTATATTAGTTTCCTATGTATATTAGACTCAAAGATATCTACGATGACTAGTTTGGAGTGTTAGGTAAGTTTAAACTCTGGGTTATAGGTCTAAGAAATGACTAGTATATAGGTTTAATAATAAAAATTTAATAAGGGCAATTCGTAAAGTCGTGGCCTCATCCAATGACTCCTGATCTTCCATTAGGCCATCAAGGGTTAACTTAATCACTCTTCTCATCGAAACTAAAGCAGATCTTCCATTAGGCCATCAAGTGTTAACTTAATCACTCTTCTCATCCAGACTAAAGCAGATCTTCCATTAGGCCATCAAGTGTTAACTTAATCACTCTTCTCATCCAGACTAAAACATTGAAACTGAATTAACTCCCAAAGAGCCACACAACGCTCTAACTGAAGAGGAATAGTGAAAAAAATACGGTAGTCACTCTTCCCTTTTAATAGACAAGTTGGGCATTCATGTCTCGCTTAGGCATAATACTCTAAGGCATTAATGCCCGAGAAATTAAATGTTTTAAAAATGGACTGGTGAACCCTATGACCAATATTAGAGAAAGAATAGATCATGAGTCATTGTAGGTACCTACTTCTTTATCGTCCACCTATTCCTCAAAAAATAGGGTGCAACAAAGAGGGGCTATGTAGACACCCAATTTAAAATTAGCTAATTTTTTCAATTTCTGAAACCCTTATTCCTAGATACCTACAACCATGAACCCTAGTTACTTCTCATACCTTTATAACGGTTGCTTGAAATCATTGCCCATACTATAAACCTACCTAATACCCCAAACTAGTATCCTAGACATTCTTTAGCATAGTAAACAACGCTTAGACAGTTAACTACTTTAAAGCATAAATTTGGGGAGGTTTCATCTTAGATCTTTTCATATTTGAACTATAAACAATGTTCTCTATATTAAAATACAAAATAAAAAATAGAAGCTGTATTTTCGATAAAAGAATATTTCTATAGTTTTTTCAAAAATTTAGCATTGTTAATTTTCTTTTTTATCATCATCATAA